AGTGAGACTGGCTCAGGACAGAACAGAGTTCAGAGCTATTGTGCATAGGGTTGCTGTGAGTCACAGGTGACTCAATAACAAGTAATAAGAACAACAACAATCATTTGTCCATTTAATCAGTTGCCATCAAGTTTATTATGACTCCTAAATCCGTATAAACACTCATGTTTGCGTATATATAGGTATGCGTGTGAGTATATGTGTGTTTTTGTTGTTGTTAGGTACCGTCAAATTGGTTCTGAAACTTAGCAACGCTAACTACAACAGAATGAAATTTTGCCCAGTCCTGAGCCATCCTTATTTACAACAGTAGATATGTTTGAGCCCATAGTTACGGTAATTCTGACAATTTATCTCGCTGAAGGCTCTCCTCTCTTTAGCTAACTCTCTATTGAGAATAATAGATCCCTTCTTCTCCAGGGATTGATTCCTCCTGATAACTTGTCCAAAATAAGTGAGACAAATTCTCAATCTCCTTATTTCTAAAGAATATTCTAGCTGTAAATAAATGTATGTATATACATATTCCTGTATCTGAAAGTGTCAGTAACCTTAATGCCATAAAATGTTCAAAGGTGGAAAGAGAAAGATAGTGAGATTCAAACTCTTAGTCCTCAGAGAGTAAATCTTCATTTATTTCTATAAATGGATAACAATTTCCACTAAAAGAGAGTAATTTGAAAGTTAGTACAAGAAGGAATGAAACCTTGTTTTCTCTACATTCATGTCAGTGTCTTCAGGCATTGTTTTTCTGTTCTCCTGAAAAAGCTTAGAAGAACAGTTGCTATTAGATGCCCTCAGTTGGATTTTGACTCACAATGACCCCATGTGACAGAGTGGAACTGCCTCATAGGCTTTTTGAGATGCAAATCTTTACAGGACATTACCAGACCTTTCTCTACCTATGAGGTTAAAATACTAATATTTGAATGCTTAACTACTAAGGCTTCTTTACAAATTCTAGTCTAATTGAAGTGGTAAGTGATTATCCAGGATCACTCATAACAGAATGAATACATCTAGATTATTCAGAACTAAATATTCTAAGATGTAATTAAAACTTTATAATTAATTTCTCTATAATTAGGAAGGAAGTTATTAAAAGATTTATTCAATCATCATGATTATCAGGAGAAGTGTGTTTTCTTTTTGTAATAAAAACATATTTAAAATTAAAGCTGCTTGAGTGTATGCAAATTAACTGTATGCAAATTGCTTAAAACAAGTATTCCCATTGTTTCCAAGTTTACAGGGTCAAGTGTGAAGGCTGGGATAAAAAAAATACTTAATCTCTTTTGTCCCCATGTATTCAAAGCTATTGCAAAAAAATATGCAAATCTACATAGACGAGCAAAAATTACAAGAAAACATCCACTTTATATCATATGTATTGCTTTAAAATGTCAGTTATATAAACAGTTCCAAAACTCTGGCGGCTATTGGTAAGGAGTTTTGCTGCTAATTCATAGGCATGTGATTTTAATCCCCAGCTGCTCTGTGGGATGGGTAATCTCTTCCTGTGCAATTTACGACATACTCTGAAAACAGACTGGAGGGTAAACTAAGAGTCAGTTCCAACTCAAGGGCACATAAGGACAAAAACAATGTAAAATCATACCGAGTTTTGACACTAAATTGAAAGATGACAAACAGCAGAAAGACTGTTTCTTGTCCTTTGCTGTAGAGTGTCCATCAAATATAGGTCAAATAGACTACATTTCTAACTTGAAAGAATAAAAATATATTTAGAAAAATTTACATAGTTCTAGAAACAACGGGTAGAAGTCCACAAATTTCAGTTCACAAGACAGTGACTTCCCCCCCCCCCTCCAGGACAGTGGCTTTTAACTTTCATGCTGTGTGAAGATGAGAACTTGACAGTCTGCAGGAACTATATACTCTTGGTCATTAGAGGAGTTACAAAAGAGAATGGATTTACAAAATGGTAATTGTTTTATATTTTAGTCATACATCAAGAATAAATAATGAGATGAAATTGTCTTTAAAATAGTATTCAATATTTTAGTTTAATCAGTATGGTCAGACCAACTGAGACTCCCAGCAATCCCAAGTGATAGAACAGGGATTTCCATCCCTATAAGGTTTTCTTGATTGACTTATGGAAGCGGGTCTCAGGGGGGTTTTGTCCCATGTAGCCACAGAGTGAGTTCAAAATAACCTTCTGATTAGCAAGCAAGTCCTTAACCATTGTGCCAACAGAGGTCCTTCCAACGATCCTTCAATAAACAAATTCAGCAGAATTTTGGAGTTAAGGTTTTGTTTGTTTTATTTTCTTTAATACTGATTTACTTAGAAAGTTCATATATATCGTTTTGCATTCTAGATCTTTCCCATTTTCTTAACTATCTCCTCTATCCACCCATTAAATTCTGCAACCCTATGATTACCGCTCCCGCCCATCCTCCCCTCCTGCTCCCACCCACCCACCCCTATTAGATCCTCATACATATTTTACTAGTTAGCTTTCTATTTCTATGATAATGGTCTTATACAGTATTTGTCCTTAGAGGACTGAGTTAATTCATGTAGCATAATGCTCTTTAGTCCCTCCCAAGTCAGGTAATGATTTTAAAAAAATTGTTGCTCCTGTGTGCTTCTCAAAGCATTCCATTGCATAAATGTACCAAAAGACAGGGGAATTAAATCTTTATTCGTAGGGATTACTTTGGTATGATTTCAGTTAGATTAAGGATGATTATGTAGGAAGGGGTAGCAGTGAATAAGAATGTTGGCAGAAGAGTAATATCATGGCTGACTACCACTAACATCTTTCCTCTGGTCTCAAAGTTAGCAAATGAGCTAGTCAGAGAAAGTAGGAAAAATACGCTTAGTAAGAAGATGTACTGACTTGAGCTCAGTCTCAAGGTCTTGGACTTTTGGGGGGGAAATACTGGAGCCTCATGATCTTCATGGGTCAGGTTACATTGGGCCACAACTAAGCAAGAGTCAAGAAAAGGTGAAAGATCATTGAAATGAACCTTCCTCCCACATTGTTGCTTTTTTTACTCGATCAGAAGCTGCAGAAAGTTGAAACAAGCTCAATTAAACTGTATGGCAATATCTACCTTTACATATAAAATTAAACAATAGGATAAGGAGAAAAGGGGACAAAAAAAGTAACCAGAAAATATATGAAGATGCTGGTTCACTGAATCCTTTGTTTTTGTAAGTCTAATAAATCGTAAGTATTTTCTCTCTGGGCATTGTTTCTGCTCTAGCCAGTCATTTCAGTGTAGGCACAAGTGCTCTACTTTGCATTGCAAATGTGTCTATTCAGGAGTTGAAATTGTATTTATAGGACAAAAAAGTCCTATGAACTTAATAACTCTCAAAAGTGACTTTTCCTATGAAAAGTGTCACAGGCCAAACAGAAACATGGAATAGAAATTACAGGAACATAGATACAGGGTCAAGAGTTGGAGATACTTTTAATGGACTTGCCAAAAAGAAATTACTTCCCTTAGAAGCTAGAAAACAGACCTTATAGAAAGAATATTCACTCAAAAATATGTGGGCTTTCTTAAGATTTAAAAAGCACTACGTAAGTATTTTGGTGGCCAAATGGTTAGGGATTTGTAATGCTAACTGAAAGACAAGTGGCTAGAATTCACAAACTGCTCTGTGGTAGAAAAATGTGCAGTCTCCTCCTACACGATTTATAGTCTGGCAAAACCCACTAGAAATTGGTTCCAACTCAAAAGCAATGCGTTGTTTTGTTGCTGTATGTAAGTACTAGATATAAAGCACTGAACAAAATAAACATACTTCCTATGCATGTGAAAATTATACTGTGATTGATAAATAATGCCAAAGAAATGGACCCTTTTGAATTGTGATACTGATAAAGAATATTGAATATGATCTGCCCTGCCAAAAGAATAAACAAATATGTTGTACACTAAGAGCAGTCAAGTGTTCTTCATAGAGAAAAAGATGGTGAGACTACATCTCACATCCTTGTAGAGTGTTATTAGGAAGGGTTAGCCCTTGGAAGGGGATATCATGCTTGGAAAAGTAGAGGATTAGTGGAGGAGAAAACTCTCAGTGAGATGAATTGGTGTGATGATTGTAACAAAGGGTTTAAGCTGAGATTGCAAGGATGACATAAGATTGGGCATGGTTTCAAACAGTTATGCATAGAGTCTTCCTCCAATCCTGATGCCACAGTCCTCTCTTTCTCTTTCTCTCTTTCACTCTGTGTGTGTGTATTTGTGTATGTGTATGCAACAATATAATATTTTATTTGTAAAATATATGTATAAATAAAACCTGAAGTGCTTGCTGTAGAAGGTCAAGGACTGCAGCCTTCAATATGGGTTAAAGCTCAACATCAAGAAAGCAATGGTTCTCACCACTGGAATGCTTGGCAGCATCATAATAAATGATGAAGAGACTGAGATTATTCACATGTTCAGTTTGCTTGGCTCTACAATCAACATTCTTGGTACCAGCAGCCAGGAAATTAAAAGATGAATTGCATTGGGAAGGTCTGCTTTCAGAGAGCTCTTCAAAGTACTGAAGATCAACGATGTCAGTCTGTAGACTAAAGTGCACATGATACAGGCCATGGTCTTTGCAATTACTTGCTATATATCGGAAAGCTGGACAATTACTAGGGATGATAGAAGGACAGTTGAACAAGTTCGTCCTGGAGAGGGTGAAGCTATGCTGCTCCTTGGAGGCAAGGATTCTGAAGCTTTGTCTCACATATTTTGGGTATGTTGCAAGGTGGGACCAGACCTTGGAGAGGGACATCATGCTTGGGAGGGTGGAGAGACAGTGCAAGAGAGTAAGACCCAGATGAAATGGATTGATACAATGACTGGGACAATGAGTTATTTTGGGTGTTTTTTTTTTCAGGCTTTCATGTATCATCTTTATTGAGCATTTTGCTTTAACACAAAGCACAGGCAAAAATGTTACTTATGTAGTAACTTCTGATGGTTATATGTAAGAAGCTGAGCAGCAAACATTATCACCAAGAGCCATCTGGTACTTCAGGAGACAAGGCTGTGAAACTTTCATCTTTGTCACTAGCTGGCAGCACGTCCACTAGAGAGCTTTCTTTACCAATTATCTTGTTGATCTCTTGTCTGTTAAGTCTTGATCTCTCTGTTCCTGAATGATTTTCATATTTCTCTAAGGCATTTTCACCATTAGCAGATTTGTCTTTCATTACTTGCACACTTGTTTCTAACTCTTTTTCCATATCAATTTTCAGTGATTCTTCTATTATCCTCCTTTCTTGATTCAGCTTTTCTAGATCTTTCTGTTCCTTGTGGAAAGCTTCTTATTGTTTACTCAGCCTTCGTTCTTCTTTCTGCCTTCGTTCTTTTGCAAACTGCTTCCCTATGCTCTCTTTTTCCTTGAGTTTTCTGATTTGTTTCTGTTCTACATCTGGGTAGTGATATGAGGCAGGCATGGCAGCAGAGAGGGTGTCCATGGGAGGCATGCCACCTGCTGCTAGTAGATCATCCACTTCAAATGACCTTGGCATGTTCCCTCCATATTCAAAAGATGACTCTAGTCGCTTATCCAAATTGGAAAGTCCACTTCTGTCTTGCAGTTCATCTGCATTTTGGAGTAAGATGTGAATGAGGCGATCTGAGGAGCCTGACCGTGAATGCATCTCCAAGTGTGGGAGGGTTCCATTTGTCCTTGTGACACTGCTTCGGGTCCAGGGCTGGAGAGGCTGTACGTGGACTCAATGCGCAAGGGCTGCGGGAGTTGGGTCTGGACAGGCCTCGGGGCCAGCCAAGTGGGATCGGGTGAAACCTTCCAGGTATATCTCACTCTCTAGACTCTCCTTGGTTTGGGGGTCGGTGTGGATAAGAGGCACCTCAAGGAAGAGGTTCTCTCTGGCCATCACCATGACCAGAGCTTTGCTCTAGTTCTCTCCCAGGATGCCCTGCCAGAGATGTGTTAGGGTGAGGTCTGTCATCTGCAATCTCTGAGAAACTTAAGGTGACGCTCCTGGGAAGCCCCAGCAAGTGCAGGAGTGATGGATTCCTTGCTGTGGCAGGCTTGTAGAGGGGTTGAAAGAGAAACTCTTCGATGGTAGTTTCTGAAAGATTTTTCCAAGTGTTCGGCCTCTTGCTCGAGATCCCCCACCCTGGCTTTGGTGTTGGCTATAAACTCCATGTCAGAGTCCAGAGAACTGCCATTGGCATGACTTGGGAACCTGGACACAATTACCATTGTCAGGGCCTTGTCCTGGGCCAGATGATTCTTCAAGAAATCCCCACAGAGCTCGCTGTCGGGGAGCCCTGTCCTGCCACTCAGGAGTGGATTGATTCAGTATTTGGGGTAATAGGGATAGGAGTATCAGAGACAATAACATTGACACAGAATAGAGCAGAATTTAGGATTGTTGTACATAAGGTAGCTACGAGTCTCAGGCAACTAGATGGCACCTAACAATAACATATATATATATATATATAAAATTATAAATGGTATATATAAGTGTCTATATGATTTTATATAGGTCCTGTTCTATTTTCCCAATGCAATTCATCTTTTTATTTCCTGACTGCTGGTGTTAAGATTAGGCTTGTAATCATGTCAACAACAGAAAGAGGTTAAACTCTTTTTCTTTCCTATATTAATACTCGTTTATTTTCTTACCCTGTTACTTTCAGTACACATCCAGCCAATATTATATTTTTATATCAAAAGTAGATACCCTATCAAATGACTGTTAATTGTGGAGCCGAGCCAGCGGTTTGGGCACGTGGACAGGAGAGACTGGTCTATGACGAAGGACATCATGCTTGGAAGGGTGGAGGGACAGTACAAGAGAGGAAGACCCCAGATGAATGGATTGATACAGTCACTGGGGCAATGGTTGTTGGTACGCCAGAGACTATTGTGAGACTGGCTCAGGACAGGGAAGGGTTCAGGGCTGTTGCACGTTGTCGCTATGGGTTGCAGGAGACTCGACAGCACATAATAACAACAATTCTATTTTGTTTCTGTTGTTTTAGGTAGAGGCTTGTGTACTGCTATGAATGAGGTGTATTTATGTTTTTATTTTCTCCTCATTTTGGAAGCTCCATAGTTTAAGAGCACACTATCAATTTTTATATGTTATGTCATGCATCTGGTATATCACTCCTCATAAGTGTTCATATTAATGCTGAAAGTGTTTCCATAGAATCTACTGGGTATGCTACTAAGCTTGTAATCATGTCAACAACAGAAAGAGGTTAAACTCTTTTTATTGCCCATATTAATGTTAGTTTATTTTCTTACCCTGTTACTTTCAGTTCAGATCCGGCCAATATGATATTTTAGTATTAAAAGTAGATACCCTATCAAATTAATGACTTCAAACTAAATATAATTCTTTAATAATTATAACAGTTTTGTGGGTCTATTTGCACATTTTAAACTAAAACAAATTACTGTTGGTTTCTGCCTGAAGTAATCCAGGTGATGGAGAGTAGGGCTGTGCTTTACAGGACTTTGCAGGTTGTGGGTTTTGGGAAAAAATAACAGCAGGTCTTTCTTCCTTAGCACCTTTACGTGTGTGAAATCATCAACTTTTCAGTAGATAGCTGATAGTCATTTGTAACACTCATGCTTGTTTGCACATGTTGCTGTTCCAAGCAGACTTACTATTTTTACTTAAAATAACTCTATGTCTTACAATAATTATCTCGTAGAGTTTTCAAGTCTGTAAAGCACATCACTAAGTCTTCCTTGTAGCTGCTGGCTGGATTCAAATTCCACTCTTTCAGTTAGTAGGCAAATGATTAAATATTGTATAGGATCATGTATAGAATTTAACAACTGATAATTTAAAACATTTCATTTAATTATTCAATTAAGAAATATTTATTTTGCCAAAGCCATCATTTCCTTTAGGTTTTCAAATACGTTGTCATAGAACTTCATATCATAATTCTTTTATTTATTTATTTATTTATTTTTCATATCATAATTCTTTTAATCATTTTGTGGTTAATCTTATCTTTAACCTTGCCTGTTTTACTCCCTTTCTCTTTCTGTAATCATGTTTATAGAAGATTTATTATTTTATTAGCCTTATCAGAAAAGGGAGGAGGTTTTGGTTTCTTTTTCATTTTTAGTTTTCCTCAGTTACAAATAAATGTTATAATGTTTACCTCACATGGATTATAACGATAAAAAGATGCAAATGCATTCATATCCTTAAAGTGCTTGTTGTTGTGTACCATAGAATCAGAACTGGCTCATAGCTGACACTTGCGAAGGTGTTCAGAGGCAGGTAATTGCAGGAGATTGTTCATCCTTCTACCATGGAGCAGCTGGTGGCCTTGAACCACATGTCGTGAGGATTGCAGCACAGCTTCTTACTAGTAGGCCACTGGAGTATAAAGTGCTTAGAATCACTCAAACTCAGGAAAAAATGGGTTGCAAGATTTACTGGCTTTACATTTTCATCAAATTGCCAGTGTTGTATAGCAATCCCTTTCTTTATCTCCTGAAGAATTGTTTGGTAAATAAAGGTCTATAATTGCCTATCTTCACATGTCTTCTACCATGATAACAAACTTTTAAACCTTTTTAGTGTGTTTGACCTTAAGAAATTCAAGTTCTGACAC